TTTATGTCCGTCTACATGCGGCCCCCAGTCAAAAAACCTGAGACCGTTCCTGGGACGCCGCCGGGGCCGCCGGGCTCCAACGGCCAATTGAGGAAGCACGGAGAACCCCCCAGAAGCCCTTCAGATGCCTCCACGAAGACCCAAGAGGTTCCCAAGAGGCCCTCAGGAGGCACGACTATGTCACGCGCCTGTGCTTGATAGCGCTGTCCAAGATCTTCTAGCGCGCCCCCGGCCTGGGCTAGAACCTGAGCGCGCGCGAAGCGCGCGCGATGGTTCTAGTATATACATATATATATATATATATACATATATATATGTACATATATGTAGTTATGCATGTATGTATGTATGCATGCATCTGTATATGTACATATTTTGATGTATGCATATATAGGCCGGGAGAGGGCCCGGAACCAGGACCCCTGGTTTGCATGGGGGGCCGGGGGAGCCTTGAGGGTTCGAAGAGAGCTCAGAAGGGCCCCCCGACCACCCAGAGGCCCCCAAGTTGGCCCACGAGGCTCCCGAAGCGCCCCAGGTTGCCTGGAGGATGGCCGAAGAGCGCGGTGAGATAGCCTCAAGACGGCCCCAGAGCGCTCCAAGACAGCCCAAGATTGCTCTTAGACGACCACAGAGGCCCTGAAGACGGTCCAAGAGGCCGCCGAGAGGGCACCACAAGGGCAAACATCAAGCATTTCCAATGGAAAAACGCATGTTTTCGGGATGTACGGATTGCCACGACGGCCACCCCAGGGGGCCCAGATGGATTTTCACCCTGGAACCGTTCCAGGGTGAAAATCCATCTGGGCCCCCCCCCCAGTGCAAAAAAGCGCTTTCGGGGAGAAGGGGGGGGTGTACCCGCGCTCCAAAAGTCGCAATGTACCAAATGAAATCTCTTATTGGAGGGCCTTTTTCTCGCGGCTGGGCCCCCTGGCCCAGTCTCGGGAGCGCCCTAGATGGACTTTCATTGCAGAACCGTTCCAGGGTGAGAATCCATCTGGGTCCTCCCCCCATAATTAGCGCAAACAATTTTTCTTGGGACCACGGGAAAACGGAAACCAAACGAAAACCAGAAAACCAAAAAAACCCAAACATGTCAAAACAATCCGACGGCGAAAACCCCAGACAAGCAGAAAGCCAGAAAACAAGAAATTCGAAACGAAAACGCCAAGCAATTCAAGACAATCCGAAGCCGAAAACCGAAGCCACCCGAAGCCCGAAATCGGAAACCCGAAACGATCAGAGAAACAATCAATGAAACAAATAAGAAAACCAGAAAACCACATGAAAACCTGAAAACGCAGAAACCCGAAACAAACCAAAGACGCCAGAAGCTTCGGCTTCGGATTGTTTCGAGCTTCGATTTCGGATTGTTTCGGGTTTCGGCTGTTGGGCTTTTGTTGTCGAACTTTGGGGTCTCGTTTTCGGGCCGCGGTTTTCGTGCTTCTGGCTTTGGGTTTCGGTTGTCTGGCTCGGTTTTCGGGCTTCGGGCTTTGGTGTTCGGGGTTCGGTTTCTGGGGCCCCGCGAAGGGCCCGCGAATTAACTTCGGAGTTAATCTGCGGGCGGGCCGGCAGGGGTGTGCGTGCAATTGTGCGCCCCATTCTTTGTCCACGCATTTTCCCATCCCGTCGCCCTGGGCCCCGTGGATTAACTCCAGAGTTAATCCACAGGGGAGGGTCGGATCAGGGTGCCGCCCTGCATGGGCCCCGTACTCCGGAATTAATCCACGGGGGAGGGGTGGATCAGGGCGCCGCCTTGGGCCCCGTACATTAATTCCAGAGTTAATCCACGGGGGAGGGGTGGATCACGGCGCCGCCCTGAGCCCCGTGAATTACTTCCGGAATTAATCCATGGGGCAGGGGTGGATCAAGGCGCCGCCCTAGGTCCCGTGAGTTAACTCCCAAGTTAATCCACGGGAGTGGGGTGGATCAGATGCCCTTTAGCTGGCCTCTGAGAGGCGCCGCCCTGGGCCCCGTGAGTTAACTCCGGAGTTAGTTCACGGGGGAGGGGTGGATCACGGCGCCGCCCTGATCACGGCGCCGCCCTGGGTCCTGTGAGTTAGCTCCGGAGTTAATCCACGGGGAAGGGGTGGATCAGGCGCCCTCCAGCTGGCCTCTGAGAGGCGCCGCCCTGGGCCCCGTGAGTTAACTCCGGAGTTAATCCACGGAGGAGGGGTGGATCAGAGGCCGCCTGGGGCGCACTCTGGAGTTAATCCACGGGGGAGGGGTGGATCAGATGCCGTCCAGGGCGCCTCCATCCACCCCTCCCGCGTGGATTAACTATGGAGTTAACTCACGGGGCCTGGGGCGGTGCCTCTCACAGGCCTCCTGGAGGGCCTCTGAGAGGCCGCCTGGATGCGCCCCAGACGGCCTCTGATCCACCCCTTCCCCGTGGATTAACCCCGGAGCTAATTCAAGGGGCTCAGGGCGGCGCCCATCAATCCATCCCCCGCGTATTATTTCCGGAGTGAACTCACAGGTCCCAGGGCGGCGCCCTGATCCACCCCTCTCCCGTGGATTAACTCTGGAGTTAACTTACGAGGCCCAGGTCGGCGCCCTGATCCACCCCTAGCTGGATTAACTCTGGAGTCAATTTGGGAGGAGGCGGCTGGCTTGTGGATCCGCTTACTGCGGAGTTCATCCACGGGGAAGCCGGTAGCAGGATCCCTTAAAACAACCTCCAGAGTTTTTCTTTCAGTAGTTCCTGGTTTCATCCATCTCGGAGGAGGAGGGGGAGGGGGGGGACGGGATGATGATGATGATGATGATGATGATGATGATGATGATGATGATGATGATGATGATGATGATGATGATGATGATGATGATGATGATGATGATGATGATGATGATGATGATGATGATGAGATGATGCGGATGATGAGGATCATGGATGATGAGGATGAGATGAGGATGATAAGGATGATGGGGATGAGGATGCTGATGATGCTGATGATGATGATGACGATGACGATGGATGACGATGACGATGATGATGATGATGAGAATGACGATGATGACGATGATGAGATGATGTTGATGATGATGGTGAATGATGTGATGGTGATGATGGTCAGATGATGATGCTGATGATGATGGGTGATGGTGATGATGAGGATGATGATGATGATGATGATGATGATGATGATGATGATGATGATGATGATGATGATGATGATGATGATGATGATGATGATGATGATGATGATGATGATGATGATAAGGAGGAGGAGGAGGAGGAGGAGGAGGAGGAGGAGGAGGAGGAGGAAGAGGAGGACGTGGAATGCGGAGGAGGAGGAGAAGGAGGAGGAGGAGGAGGAGAAGGTCTGGCCCAGAGAGCTTGGGCAGCCCATCAGGAGGGCACTTTTCGAGTACTGTACGAGGGGCCAGACCTCAGGCGTGCACACTCTGTACATCCTTTCTCTGTTCTCCTTTATTGTTACATTCTTTGTTTCTTGTGTTGCCGCGACACACACTACGAATAAGGTCAAGGAAGAATCTTGGCACAGGAGAAAGAGGACCAAGCGTGCCCAAGTCAGGCTCTTATTGAGAGCACTTGCTGCGCAGGACCTATTGCGACGGCATCACAGCTCGGACAACATGGCGGGCACCAATTACCAGAGTGCTCGCAGCAGCGGGCCTGGAGTCAAATGGGATTGTCTACGATGTGGAAAATTCGTCAAGGGACACCACTGGCGGTGTTTGTGCGGGCAGGGCTACGGTGCCAACCAGATTGAGGAGCGCAAAGTAGGAGGGCCTTTCGCTCATGCGTGGCGCCAGAAGCAATCAGCACAACGAGAGCCGTGTCGTCCACGTCAGAACAATCAGCATCAGGAGAAGCAGGCCATTAAGCAAGTCATCAGTCGCACAATTGCAGCTTCTCGATCAGAGGCGATGGCCCACAATAGTTTCATCGAACCACCGCCCGACACGAAGGATCTCAATACATTCAAAGCCAACGTCCGACAGCGCATGGAGAAGCTTGCGCAACTAGTGATCGTGGCCAAGGGAGTCAACCACGGGTGTGATGACGTTCAGCAGGAGTTAGCGGTGCTCAAAACTGATGCACAACAAACTCCACGTCTTGAGAACCAGTCGTGGCAAGATGAACGAGAAGATCAAGGGCATTCGCGGCAAAGTATGTGATCTACTCGATGAGGAGAAAAAGGCGGAAGACGAGCTCAATACATTGAAGGCAAATATCGCGGAACTGGAAGAGTTAGAAATGTATGACGATGATGATATGCAGGGTGATGAAAGGCAGCCAGGGCAGTACACGATTCATTCGCCACGCCATCATCCAGCAGGTGCGGCCCCACCAGCTAAGGAGATGCCCCAGGATCCGCATAGGACAACAGCTGCGACGGCAATGGGCAATACACTGGGAGTTATCCCGACACAGTATGTCCCACCGCCGCCGCCGTTGCAGGGCATACCACCACCACCGACGAACGGACATGTAGGAGTGCCAGGTATACAGGAAATGACGTATATGATGTATATCATGATGGAGGTTCAGAAGCAGCAGCACATCAAGCTCGAGCAGATCACCAACCACATGGCTCCCCCAGTGGGGTTTACTACAGGGGGAGTTGCGGACGCAAGCTCACCCCAAATCCCACCTACGCCAGTTGCAACGACGCCCCCAGCGAAGAGATCACCAGCATCCCCTACGCCTTTCGGGCCTGCCAGGATCGCCTCGCCATCCACATATCCGCCTGGTCAGCCGACGCCGATAGGGGGTCCCCCCACGCCATTGGCAGCTCCAGCAGCGCTGAGTAAATGAGTTCATGCAGTGTATAGTATCACTATGATCTTGAACTCCCAGGGCAGATTGTTGGTATTGTGTTTATCCGTAGGCACCCTCTTGGCCCGAGGTTATCGTGCGTTTCAGGAAAATATTCCTCCGCCACCATCCTATCGGATATCATTCGATGTGCTTTCGCGCGTCAGTGGTAGCAGGAGCGTGACACTCCCAGGAGTGTTGGTCGATCCGCGGCACGATGTCGGGTGAACCGAAGGATGGCAACGGCGAGGGACAACGCAGGGCAGAAGACCTAGCGGGCAGGAAGGAATTGTCGGATGGCACGGTGGACTCAGAGGCGTTCACTGGAGAGCAGAAAATTGAGCTCGAGCAGATGATGAAGCAGCAGCTGGCGCAGACGGAGGCCATGCTGCTGAAGTACCTAGGCAAACACGGCGCGAGCGAGAAGGAAGAGGGTGCTGACCGGCGACCTCGCGATCCGTGGGATTCAGACGACCCGTGGAAGGGTCAAAGTCGGTCGGAGAGCCAAGGCGGAGAAAGAAGAGAATGGTCTCAAGAAGAATGGGACGAGTGGAAAAAGGCCAAGGGCGGCAGGTACGAGAGCGACTGGAAGGACCAGAAGTGGGAGAAGGGCGACTACACCGATCCGGAGGCATTCATGGGCTGGTCAGACTATAGATTGTGGCGTCGCCGAGTGGTCAGATGGCTCGACCAGACAGACGTACCGCCGAGGAAGAGGCCAGACAAGATCCTGAAGGTATTAGACAGGGATTTGCAGAGAAAATTCGAAGATATTCCAGATGCAGTGTTGCAGTCGGCTGAAGGGCCGATGACGATCATCAAGCGACTCGACATTATGAGCGGGCAACGTATGGACGACGAGAAAAGAAGAGCGGGCCGAGAATGCTTGATGGGATATCGACGCAAAGCGGATGAAACCCTCTCAGTATACACGGCACGGATGGACCAGACTTTCGAGAGGCTGAAGGGCCAGGGGCTCGAGTTAGACGACAGCTGGAAAATATTATTTCTTGAAGAAGGCATAGGACTGGATGAGAGCGGGATGCAGATGCTGAAGGTCATGAGCCGCGGCTCCACGGACTACGAAGAAGTGATCGGCGCGGCGAGAGAGATGGATGTGACACGCAATGAGCATCTCGGCGCCCGGGCGGGCAAGGCCACGGCGGCGACCTACGCACTACAGGATGATGACGACGACCTCTGCGAGTACAGCGACGTATCTTCCATGACGTCGGAGCAGGAGGCTTTCGTGCTGGAGTCGATCGCCGAGGCCGACGTAGACGAGCACGAGTTACCAGAGGTGCTGGCGACGTTGGAAAAGGACAGAAAGAAGACGTGGAAGGAGAACCGGGACTACAAAAGGCAGCTTCGAGTGGATAGAAAATTCTACCAGACCCCGGGGGGGCCTTCGGGCTCCAGGGCGCCGGCGCCGCCGCCGCCGCACCCGGGGAGACGTGACGGACTACATCGGAGTGCGAAAGGGATAGTTCGCGAGCGGAAGAGGAGACTTCCGATCGAGAAACTAATGAAGATCACAAAGTGTCATCGATGCCACAAGAAGGGGCACTGGAGCCGAGAATGTCCCGAGAAGGGGGACTCGACGGGAGCCGCAGCGGGAAGCGGGTTCGTGCTGCTCAATGAATCGGAGCCGAGCTACGCGATCCTGGCCTCGGAGAACATCAACTCGATCAACGCGCGCGGGTTGATTCACCAGGTTGTGGACCGCATCAGATCCGAGAAGGTCGAGGCCATGAGCCTGCTGGTCACAGGCTCAGGGGACATCGTGGTGGACACGGCGGCGGGCCAGGCGCTGATCGGGCCGCAGGCGCTGCAGAGGCTGGAGAAGCGTCTCGGCGAGCTGGGCTTCCGAGTGGTTCGGGTCAAGAGCAAGCACCAGTTCGCGAGAGGCGTCGGCGGGAAGACGCAGGTGCAGTCAGGACTCCTGGTCCCCACGGGCATCGAGGGCAAGACAGGCATCATGGAGCTGGACCTGATCGAGCAAGACGTGCCGGCCCTGATGCCGATCAGTATGCAGGAGCAGATGAAGGCAGTGATCGATCTCCCGAAGGCCGAGATGACTCTGAGGGCGCTAGGGGTGACCACCAGCTTGAAGCGGCTGTCGAGTGGTCATCGCACGATCGCGATCGACAAGCTCGGCAGCCCAAAGGGTTTTGAGCTTCCGGAGGCTGTCCGGAAGCGTTTCGGACTGCAGGCGTCTGACTTTCGCCTGAGCTCGAGCGAGAGCTACGTGCTTCCTCCTCCCGCTCGGTCGTCCTCCCTCGTGTCGTCGAGGTCGTCTACGGAACAGTCGACTCGGAAACCCAGGGCCGAATGGGCTCGTATCGAGAAAGACCCGGCCTCGCTATCGAAAGTGATCAGCAACGACACCCAGAAGCATCAAGGAGGACTTCCAAGTGCAGGTGAGCACCTCTTTCCCCCCCCCTCTGGTTCTGGAGGCCCTCGAGGCGTTCCGGGGAACTCAGAGGCCTTTCGGTGGATGTCTTGGGAGGCGGTCTCTCCTACTCATTTTTCGTCCCGTCGTCGACGTCGTGATCCGACGCATGTGGCCATTTCTGGGCCGAGCGGTTTGAGGAGGACGGTTCGAGACGCTTTCTCTCACACGAGCTGCAGATGCCATGGTGACGTACTGGAATCGAGCCGAGAAAACGTTTCGGCAGGCGATGACGGGCTCCACCGCGAGCGACAGTGGCGAGCCGCAGTGCGTCAAGTACTTGCTGACCGGAAACGAGTATCCGAACGGGCTGTCGGTGGGAGACAAGTTCTGGGCGTACCTCAGCTCCAGGATCGTGGCCGATCACCAGCACAAGGGGCTGAAGCTGCTGCACATGTTCCAGAACGGCCACCAGTGGCCAATCAAGACCAAGAAGGCGGACAGGTTCTACACGGAGCGCCAGATGAAGTGCAGTCATTCCTGGGCACGTCTCATCAGTTTCGGCAATTCCCACGGCAGTTGGGAAGTCTGCGGGGACTGCGACATGAGGGTCTCGTACTTCCAGAAGGCGTCCGTCATCTACAAGGGGATGGGCAAGTCGCCTCAGAGCGGCTCGACGGTGCTGAACGTGAGCGACCTCACCAAGCCCCCCGGGGGCAGAGCATCGGTGAGGAACTCGGTGGAGTGCACGAGGGTCGCTCTCATGACGACGACGAGCGACCGGGGGCCGACCCAGGGCTCGGAGGAGCCGATGAGGGTGAAGAAGCGCTCCGAGGAGATGGTGCAGTATCGGGCTTTGGAGGCGCCCATGGAAGTAGACGGCACAGGTCCAGCACGCCCTCGCCAGCACGCCCCTCGTGCGTCGCTGATCAGCGAGATCAAGAGCATGAAAGAAGAGATGACCAACCAGAATCACGGCCTGCTCGCCCTGGTGGTGGAGCAGGGAAAAGCCATTCAGCACATGCAGGCGGCGCAGCTCGGCATCCAGGAGAAGCAGGCCATGATGGAGAGGCAGATGGCGATCGAGGACCAGCCGAAGACGCTGCCGCCGCAGGTGCCGGCCCAGGCGGTGTTCCCCGTCGGGTGGGAGACGATCGAGTCGCCTCCGACCGCCGGCAGTGCCGGCAGCGGACCAAGCAGTCCCTGAAGGACGGCAGGTGCTCGTACGGCCTGAGTGAGCTGCCCGAGGCGGAGAGCCTCGATCGGATTCTAAGCAGCGCCGGATGGCGAGCGCACGAGACTTTCTTTTTCCAGGAAGAAGCGCCCCACTATCTTGGGGAGGACGGGGGGATGAACCTGATTAGAAGGCCAGATGGAGTGTGGGCGACGGAGAAGGAGGGGAGCGCTTCTCCAGACGACCAGGCAGAGCGCTTGGTGGCGATGTCCCTGCCTGTTTGGCGGGATCTGTTGCTCTCAGGCGAGTTTAATGACGATTTCGAGGCGATCGCCTCCAGGAGGGAAAAGAAAGCATGTGAGAAGGCCCTGCGCTTCTCGGCAGGACCATCCCACGGTGAAGGACGGCTTCCAAGAGAGGCGCAGCTTCCACCAGAGGGACAGCTTCCAGGAGGGGTGCAGCTTCCACCAGAGAGACAGCTTCCAGGAGGGGGGCAGCTTCCACCAGACGGACAGCTTCCCCATCCGGAACGAGAAACTCAGGGACCCTTCGAAGACCGACCTCAGGGAGCATCCACCCGCTCCCCGGCTTGCCTAGCGGCTGTCCGCAGTCAGACCCCCAAGTCCGAGAGACTCGAGGCCTCCAGGAGACGGCAGTGGGCCGACAGGGCCTTTGTCGAGGTGTATTCTCCTCCTCGGATCGGTCCCGAGGTCCAGAAGCGCAGGGTGGGATGTCTCGGGAGTTGGGATTTGGAAACCGGATGGGACTTCAGAGAGGGGGGAGTCAGACTTGCGGCTAGGCAGCGCCTGAGAAAAGAGAAGCCAGCAGTTGCCATGATGGAGCCCCCGTGCCAGACACACAGCGCCATGTTTAGGGTCAGCAAGGGGTCCATGGACTCCGAGTACCGCGAGGCTCTGATCTCGGAGGGCCTCACTCACCTTCATCATGCGGTCGACCTGGCCCTCATCCAGTACCGCGGAGGGCGCTCCTTCGTGCTGGAGCACCCTGACACGGCGTCGTCCTGGGAGGACCCCAGAGTGGTCCGATTGGCGGTGCTTCCGGGCGTCCAGGCGGTTTCGTTCGACATGTGCTGTTTCGGTCTCACGGTGGATCCCGAGGGCAAGCTGTCCAGGAAGCGAACTAGACTGCTGACAAACGACCCCATAGTGATCGAGATGCTCAAGAAATATCAGTGCTCTGGGGACCACGAGCACTTCGTTCTGGAAGGTCGGGCGGTGACTCGAAAGTCCCAGGTGTACCCCGAGGCCTTCTGCAGGCACATGGCCGAGACCGTCGCCAAGATCGTGTCTTCCATGGCACGCAAGTCAGCTCGCCCCGAGTCGTTCTGGGGACTAATAGATCAGGTCAACTCTTTCCCAGTAGGAGCGTCGGGAGGAGTGGCCCCACCCGTGAGAGAAGACGATATCGATCTGGACTCTGAAGAACAGGACGCGGACATGGGCTCTGGAGATCTCGACCCGATTCCAGAAGGCGAGGAAGGAGGAGAAGAGGATGAGCCCGACGAGGCTCAACCTCCTCTCACCATCGACGCTCGCGTTAAAGACCTGCTGTATAAGGTTCACGTCAATCTGGGACACCCTCGACTTCCTCTCTTCATTCGTGTTCTGAGGGGGGCTCACGTTCGCCCCGAGGTCTTGGAGTACGTGAAGGCGTCTTTCTCGTGTCCTGACTGCGACGCCCACCCCAAGGCAGAGCAGAGACGAAGGGCGGCTATGCCTCACACGTTTCAATTTAATCGCGTGGTGGGGATAGATGTGTTTTATGTTTCCTTTGAGGGCCATTCTGTTCTTTTTTTGAACGCGGTATGCCACGGAACGAACTACCAAGTGGTAGCCAGGTGCAACGGATATGGGACCCCAACGGCCCGGAGTGCGTGGGAAGCGTTCGTGGGATCGTGGATCCGATATTTCGGCCCCCCGGAGTTGGTGCTTTCGGACGGCGGAGCCGAGTTTCAGGCCGAGTTCCTCAGGGGGCTGGAGCAACAGGGCGTGTTCCAACATGTGGTGAACGCGGAGGCCCCTTGGGAAAACGGCCGCGCGGAGAGACACGGGGGCTGGGTCAAGGACCTTCTGGACAAGGGATCGGAACAGACCGTCGTCGCCACGGAGAAAGAGCTCGAGATCCTGGCGTACGAGGTAGTGGCCTCGAAGAACAACTACCTTCACCGGGGGGGGTTCTCTCCGAATCAACTCGTTTTCGGGCGCAACCCACGTGTTCCACGCGAGCTGATGTCTGATGACCCCCTCGGTTTGGTCGGCCAGCAGGATCTCGACGAGACGGCGTGGGACCAAGATACCGCAGCAGCGGACTTCGCCAGAGCAATGAGCATCCGACGTTTCGCTAGGACCCAGTTGTTTCAGAAGGGAAACCAGGCCCGAGTGAAGGCCGCAGCCAAGGCATCGAGACGTCGCGACACCAGATACAGTCCCGGAGACTGGGTTTACGTGTGGCGCAGGGCCCCGAGGGCCCAGCGCAAGACCTACGCGCTGCAACGCGATAGGTGGGCCGGCCCCGGGGTCGTGGTCTTCCAACACAACAACAGTGTCTGGGTGTCGATGAGGTCTCGATTATGGAAGTGCGCCAGTGAGCAGCTGAGACCCGCCACCGGGCCCGAGGCCAGGGGGGCGGAGATTCTGCAGGATCCAGCCGTGGCCTCCATGATCCGAGAGGTGCAGTCTGGCGCGCACCAAGGAGGGGTTAACGTCATGAGGGAAGGCCCACCTCCGGCGGAGGCGTGGGAAGAGCCCGTTCCCCCCGCGGACGGGTCTACCTCAGCTCCTCTTCCCTCCATGCTTCCTCCCGAGTCGTCGGGATCCCTCGGCGACGCAGGACGCGATGAAGTTCCTCAGAGAGCGGAAGAAGCTCCAGCAGGCGCCAGAGAGACCGGTGCATCACGTGACGAGGAACCGTTCAGGCCCGAGAGGCAGGTGTCTGTCGGAGAATCGACTCGGTCGGGGATGCCCCCGTCCGGGCCATCACCTGCTCCCTCCGTGGCTCCCTCCGGGTCGGTTGCTCCGAGTGCTGTCGGTCCGCCCCCTGGTCCCTCCGAAGGCGATATTGAGTTGCAGAGACAGGAGGCCATCCGTAGAGCTCGTCTGTTAGACTTCGGGGAGATGAGAAGGCGTCCACAGGGTGACAGGGACGCTGCCTTCCAACAAATGCGAGAAGAACAGACCCGACGTCATCGGGCTCGTTTAGGTAATCTTCCCCAGCCAGCGGTGGACCCGAGCGGAAGTTCGGATGGGCGAGTAGGTCGCATGATCGCCGACTGGGACAGGCTCGGTTCGGCGGCTCCTTCCGCCTCGGATCCGGAAAGGAACAGATCCAGGTCTCCGGGTCGAGGCCAGGCGGGTTCCGAAGAGAGGCCCGACGCCATGACGGATGTGGTTCTCATGTCTCTGTCGGAAGAAGAGCTCGGTCAATATTTTCTGTCCCTTCAGCAGGGCATGACCGAGAGGGGATGGAGCGGATCTTGGGTGGAGTTCGGAAACGGAAACGCCGACGTGGAGCTGGTCCCGGGGGAGAGGTCCGAGGCGGGAACGTTGACCTTGGCTGCTTCGCGGGGCTCGGAAGTTTCGAAGAAGCGTCTGAGTCTAGAGGAAGCGGCCGAGTTCGACGAGGCTGACGCCAAGGAATGGAAAGCCATCATGGACACCCAAGCGGTGCGGGTGTTTCCCCCCGAGGAGGGTCGCAGGCTCCGTGAGAGGTATTCGAATCGAGTCGTGTCTAGTCGCATGGTGAGGAGGTGGAAGCCGCAGGAGGGGACTTTCTCACGACCCAAGGCCAAAAGTCGGTGGTGTGTTCGGGGTCACGAAGACGAGGACACCGGAGAGCTCCGAGTGTACTCACCCACTCCTCAGATGGAGAGCCTTATGTTGTTCCTGACGATGTCTCTGGCGCTCGATATGGATATCCAGATCGGAGATCTCAAGAATGCTTTCTGTCAGAGCGATCCCCTGGTTCGTCCACGTGGGAGAGTCTTTGTGGAGCCATGCGAGGGACTATCCCTCCCCCCCGGTTCCTTAATAGAGCTCATCGCCCCTGTGTATGGGCTGGACGACGCCCCACTGGCTCTCCATCGCACCACCGTGTCGTTTTTCGAGTCGAGGGGGTATGTTAAGTCCAAGCTGGAGCCGTGCTGGATGACGAAAAGAGGTCCCCGGGGTCCCGAGTCCATGGTTCTCATTGAGGTGGACGACTGGTGCATGGCCCACCTCCCTTCCGTCCAGGCCGAGGAGCTGAAAAGCTACAGAGAGCGTTTCGACTATGGCAAGATGGTGAGGCTCGACGCTTCGGGGGTAGACTACATAGGTCGCCGGTTGAGGAGGCTTAATGATAGGGTTCTCGTGGACCAGGAAAAATATATCCTGGAGCAGATACACCGTCTTCCCCTCCCTCGTGCCCGTCGATCCAACCACGATGAGCCACTCGTCGGCCGCGAGATCTCGGATTTCCGACCCATGGTGTATCGTCTCAACTGGGTCGGTCGGGAGACGCGAGCGGAGGCGTCGGGAACTGCCTCCTTGCTCGCGAGTAGGGTCACGCATCCTACCGTCGGGGACGCCGTGGTGCTGAATAAGATGGTTGACCACCTTCGTCAGACTGCCAACGTGCCTATCATCGTTTGGCGTTTTAATATTCGTTCTATGCTGTTCGCTACGGCCTCCGACTGCGGCGGAGTCGCGGCGAATAGCGGGGACAAGCCCCAGCAAGCGTGGCAAGTATATGCCGCTGATGCTGCCTTGTCCCGCGGGTCCCGGGCCCGAGTCACCCCTTTGGCATGGCGCTCGTGTCGGGTGAAACGTCAGGTTCCTTCGACGCTAGCCGGAGAGGTTCAGTCACTGAGCGCGGCCCTCGCAGAGGCCGAGTGGCTTCAAATGCTGTTCTACGATGTTCTCCAGGGCAACCTTCTAGACGACTCCTGGAGATCCCACATAGGCCCCTTTGCCTCTGTGCTGCGCAGGAGCTGTACCCTGGACCTGACCCCCGAGGGAAATATCAGCGTGGTGGATGCCAAGGGTATCTTCGATACGTTGGATAAGGAGACCTCTGGCAGTAAGAACGACAGAAGAGCTGCGATCGATCTCGCAGTATGCAGGGACTCTCTAGGACGCGTTGGGGGAGTAGTTCGATGGGTCCCACATCCCATGATGCCCGTAGACGTGATGACAAAGGCAGACCTCTCCAAGTCAAACGCTGCGCAGCTGCAGCTGCTGCGCTCAGGTCTTTTGCAGATCACCTCCGAGAGCACGGCCTTGGAGAACCGACGGCAGGGCCCGTCGTCCAAGGGCCGTTCTCGAGCCGCATCCGTTAGGCAGCTGGAGGCCGAGTCTGCTGGTCCGTCGTCGTAGTTGTCGTCGTCCTCGTCTCTTTCCTTTCTCCCATTTCAGACCCCGTCGGTGGAACCGACCCGGTCAGGCTACACTGTGCGATTTGATGGCAGCAGGCCAAGAGTTACCGACGTCACCTCAGTCTGAGGGTGCCCCTTTTCAGTTTTGATTTAGTGGAGTTTCAAGCTCACTAAAATGGGGCGGACTGAGTAAATGAGTTCATGCAGTGTATATTATCACTATGAT